CACTCCGATGCCTTATTAGGCAATCGCAGACAATAATATATAACTTAAAAAGGTATATCAAACTAGCTGTCGCCCGCGATTCTGTCCGTGCGGAATTAAATGAAAACGTAATAAGCAACCTATGTATTTTTCTAGACTATGTTCTACATCTATGCTAAATTTCAGCGAGATCTGGAGATACCTTCAAACAAACAGCCATCCATCCACTTAAATATTTGCATTTATAATATTAGTAAGGTGTAAAGTTTAATTTTTACACTTCATATTTAATATTATACATTCGAAAGTTTTGATGGATATACGTGTGTTTGTTACCATTCTACTCAACCATAGGGCTGAGCAGAATGGATTAAACTTGGAACAGTACCTAAGGCCCTTCGTACACAGGTGACTTATCATCGAAACCCGGAGATTTAGTCACTAAACGACTTACGCAATATAACTACATATATAGAGGTTTTGGTAGACAACGCGCGTAGTCGATATATCTATCCGTCATTGCCAAAGTAAGTCGCTCGCAAACGTTTTGTCAAGATCGTCGAGAGAAAATTCGCTGCAATTTTTTAAAACGGCGACGAAAATCTATATAATTAACATGTATGATATTTGAAATGACTATGCCTATACAGACCGAATAGACGATTCGCGTCGACGATTTAACGAGCGCGCGCTACGCAATTTAGCGACGCAGACGTATAATATTAGTTTCGATAATTTATGTGACCTTGTACTGGGTGTATCATCAGGAATAATTCATAGCCTACATGTTAACCCGAGACAAAATTCATAGTGCCAAGGGGAAAGATATTACTTCGTTTTTAATTCCGCGCGGTCGAAGTCCCGGGCATTAGCAAGATAAATATGATGTGATGGAATTAAAGTGACAAAAGAGGTATATAGAGATTTGAGGATAATATGTGTTGCTGGCTGGCACATCTTTTATTCGGTAAAAAGTATTTTGTGACTTTTAAAAAGAAATTGTCAAGTGGATTCATTAAATTTCACGGTAAGACTTTTATCTTTCCCCCTAGTAAAGAGAAATTTATCACTGAAAATACTATTTGAATGAATAACATGATTTAAAAAAAACTAAAATTTCAAATTAATATTCAAAATGATCGACCCGATCGGTGTTACCAAAGGCCAAAGTGAAGTCAATAACCCGATAATAAAATAAACACGCCAGCGTCACGAGCCACTGATGCCGTGTGAGTGCTCTTAAAAAGGCTTTCTTGAAGCGAACTCGGCGCTCGGACTAATTACATATTGAATTTTAAGACCGATGGACTTTATTAAATATTTTTAAGACAAAGTTATAGGTAATGTTACACATAAAAATAACTGTACAAGTGAAATATCGTAATGGCCGCAACGAGTAGAATTTGACGTTGTTCTGTTTACTTAATTCCGGCATTGAATCCAAACGATATAAGTAGAATTATAAGGCCACCCATAGAGCGCCGGGAAGACCGCACTAAATGCTTCTTTATGACTGGCCGTATGTCTTAACCCCGAATAGTTAATTTTATATCGACCTTTGATGTTCCGGAATAAGTGCTTAAATGTATCTTACGTTATAACATATATTTTACGGACAAAGAGCAGTTTTTAATTCGTTATATTATTAATGTTTCATCAGTTTAGAATAGGACGTCTCTGACCGCGTGCGACAATAGTGGCAGTCGCATCAATGGAAATATAAAACACAATTCTCTACATACATACAAGTCTAGATTTTGTAATCAACTCGAAGTGCAGGTTTGGCACGGGGCGAGGTCTAGTGAAAATTTCAAACTTATGAAGTTATATGAGTGTGTTCCCACCACGCACTTAACGTTGGTTTCTGTAACCAAAATCCCGTATTGAGCATATTTTTATCTCTATTTTGTCAACGATAATGACAGAAACCAACGCCTACTGCGTGTTCATGTTGAAATCGCGAGTGTGGGTGCGAAGGAGCTCGTAACTGTCATTAGTTCGACACCGCATCACGCCCGCGCCCTCGTGTTCAGTATGAACACTCTCAGACATCGTCGTATGTTTGAAATTTTGCGACTGCGCCCGCATCAATCAGTTCAGTATGAACACGCACTTACTAGCGGTGGAGTTCGCTATTTACTCGCGACGTCTAGTTTTACCGGTTTAAACGCAAACGCTCAAACCCATGGCGGCTAACGCGAACACTCGCCCGCGCCCGCGCCCTCTCAATCAAGCAACACAACAAGCCCAAACTTTTAGTAAGAAGTTCTCCGAAAAAAAAACGCTAAAACAAAGACTTGACTTGAGCTATAGAATGAGCCTAACAAATTAAATCAAACACAATAGTTAATAAAGGTACGTATATTTTCCTAACCATGGTATATTGTGAACATTAAAATAATTATATACGATCTTGTAGCATTTACCATCAATGTTTTATTATCTCGTCGTGTTTTATATAACATTCAACTCACGATAACAAACAGCGAAGTGACTGAAATAAATCGTTGAAACGTAACGCTTATTCTGAAATTGTTTGTCTTTTAAATCATGAATCTCCAATGCCGATACATGTGGAAGAAAACCAAATGACATCCGTCTTCGTTTTATTCATTGCGAAAAACAAAGAAAGCAATTGAACTTCCTCTTCCTATCCGAACCCAAGTCCAATACATACTTTCTATTTAAGTAAAGGTTAGGTAGGGGAAAAGGACTAAAATGAGGCCTCCGGCACGTTACTTTAGGTTTTTATAAAATAGGTTTCGTTTAAACAGTGACAGAAGTATTAATTGTCTTTGGTTCATCAAGGAAATGACAATAAATGTATAATTACAAGTTACACAACAGTGGGAACCCAGTGTAAGAATATGTGGAAGTAATGCACAGTATGAAATCTTGGCTCACAATATTATAATGACGTGGACATAATGTTTGAATTGTCAATTGTTTCACGACTGAGTCATGTCAAGTAGGCACATATCATACCGATGACTCAATTATATAATCTTATACGTCGTATTATAAACAAGCAATTGACAGAGGTTAGGAAGTCAGTCGTCACTCTATTCGAGCTTTAAGGCCCTTCAACAAGCCAACGTAAATCTTCGGAACCCGGCAATTTTCTTCGTTAAGCGACTTAAGCAATATAGTAGTATAGAAGTTCGTATACAGCATAAGATCGCCGACATTTGTATCTGTCATCGCCAAAGATAATCGCTCGCAACCTGTTAAAATCGTCGATAGATAGGTCCCTGCGATTTACATGTTTGCGGGGAAAATGTATACAGACGGCCTAAGTTGCTATACCTATACTGAATAGACAATTCACGTCGACGATTCAACGTGATGCAATATTCATTTTCTTGCAATATTTGTGGACAATTTGTCTAAATATACCTACAGGAATCATCAACTCTGTAATGGACTTGTCTGATTCTCTTTGTCTAGATCTATCTAGTCTTCTCTGATAAATAAATCCTACGCGCAAAACATTTGCGAAAAGATATATCTAAATAACTATAGAAATGGTGATTTGGTCTTCGTCGCATAACTCATAGTTATTGAAAAAATTTAAAAGTGGTAGAGTTCGTTACAAATTAGCAACATTATCTGCTGAACGAATGACCTGATTGAACGGCGCAATAACTCGAACACATAGAAGGCAAGCGCGAAGACTTAATCTAGAGGTCTTTTCTTTCTAACTTTACTTCGACGTGATTGTTGCCGCTTTCTGCATTGCCTGTGGCTGTTTTAGTTGTTTTTCCTTTTCATTTGTGATTAGGGTGGATTTGGGTGGAACATAACGTTCTTCACAGTGATGCGTAAATCAACAAATCTATGGTAACGCTTTCACACTAACTAGCAGCGCACGCGTAACCATCAAAGAAGGATCAACCCTGAGGAAGCTTCCTCACGTCGTCGGGAAATTGCGCAAACAAAACAAACGTGATTTCTTACGCGGGTACCCATTCTTATGGGTCGTGGAGGTTAGGTAAATGGCGTTTCCACCGTGTGTACTTTGTTCCGGTGATTTTCTCGATGCTAAGAAGTTCAAAATATCTATAGATATGTTTATTATCTCTATTGTCGTTTCTATATTTTCAATGAGGTTGACAAGCGTTTCTACGGGTCTTACGGATAGAGCGACATCGGGGAGAAGTTAGCGGTGTGGGATAGAGTTCAAGCTTATATAGATGTATTTCGTTAATCGCTAGGTAATTACGTACCTTGAGAATTTTATACAGATACCTGTAAAAAAGTGTGCGAAAAGCCATGCTGTAAACATTGCTTATTGTCGTAAGATAGTTAAATTATAGCGTCTGGGAAGATATATATTTGAAAGTGGGTTATGTGGTTTTATCCATATGCATTTTAAAGCATGTGAACTGAATAAAACAACTCTACCATATATTAATTAATACGTAAAAATGTAGAGATTTGCAATAAAATTTACATATTATTCAAAAGACAGTGCTACAGTTCATAAATTTAAACCAGTTTTCCAAAGAGTCTTATTGATTCCATTTGTTATATTTAAAATATACACAGCAACTGATATTTCAAAACGTGACGCACAAAAAATAAAAGCGGTATCCATCCGGTCTATCTATCAAACGTGTCGAAACGCAAGCTGGGTGTATTTATCGCGCCATATCTCCCCGTGGCGTAGGAATAAATAAACGGGCGAGCCCGGGGACCCCTCGTACACCCGACAATACAAAATGTCCGTTTATTTTTCTATATGCGAGCCTCGCGCCAAAAAACAAAGCGTGTGCGAGCCGCGCGACCGCCGAGCGGGACGCAGCACCGGTGGCTCACTTGCACGGCGCGGGCGGGGCGCGCGCTCCGGCCGTGCTATTGGTTCTCGTGGCGCGTCGTCCGCCGCCCGCGTCGCGCGCCCAATCCGCACCCTCGATGCCGACCCCTCCGCACTCCCCGCGCTCGCACCGCACACACCGACCTTTCACGAATGCCGAACCGATTCGATACGACCGAAAATGCCTTAGTTACTTCACGGCCTCTCCGTTGGCTGGACGTTTCGATGATAATAGTGTGACGGTCTAAAAAGCTGTTTCCGTTTCGTCCTGGACCTATTAAAATTGACAGTAGTGGATTTTGTGCATGTCTACGGAAATTTATCGAGTGACTGCCACTATACAGGTATTTATCTTGATGGTTTCATATTATAATACAGTATTAAGTTAGCTAACATTGCACAGGTTAAGAATAATTTGTCGGAGTAAACGTAAAGTTTTCCTATCGTGATATTAAGCGGACATGTTAGTGCCGGATAATGGAACGTAAAAGCGGTGTCCTCGTAATCAACGTAGGCCGGGCGCGGCGCGGCAACGTCGCGCGTAAATAATAGGGTAGGCGCGCGGTGCCGGTACCGCGGCGGCAGCTGGCGCGGAGCGGCAACGTCGCGCGCCCGCCGCTGTACGCCACCACGAGCCGCGCGCCTAGCCCGAGCGGGACGCAATATACCTACCGCGCCGCCACCAAGTTCAATGACGAAGACAAACGTCTCGCATACAATCATAGTAAAACATTTAAAATATCATCTTTAAATACTACTAATAACATAATTTACTACGCGACTATCTGTATTTTGATATCATATATATTTACACCTTCTCTACGAATACTCAAGTTTATACGAAAAATGTAAATATTTATCTTTAATTTATAGACAATTAAAGAATTATAGACTCCTATTGCGCTCTGAAAATATTTAATCGCGCGATGAAAACTTGTTTACAGATATCGAGCGGTTGTTTTTAAACAAGTAGCGCTCTCTGTCGGCGCTCGGTGAAGTGAGCGACTGCGGGACGCGGGGCGGGCGCTGCTGCCGCCCCTGCCTCAGTTCGGCTGTGACATCGTGGTGTGTGGACGTGCTGCCGCGTGTCTCATCCGAGTGCCGTTTCGCGCGGCAACTTTGAACAGTGACAGCGTTAAGAGTGTATTGTGTGCATAGAATGTGTGTCGGATTGCGGTGCTCTACAAATTGGATGCAGTGAATCGGATCACTATTGGATTGCAGTGTATATTCTGGATTTGATTTTTGGACGTTACGCACAAAGTCACAAACTGGGGATGCATAAAATGGAGCTCGGCGACAGCGTGTACGCCGCCGAGCGTATCATGAAGAAGAGGATTAGAAAGGTGAGCTTTGTTTCGTTTTTTCGAAAGCGAGCGCTGCCACTGCGGCGGGTGGTTGCGAAACCAACGATGCCACACATCACCCCTTACTACATAGTGCACAATAAACAAATGGTTGCCATTATAAAACTTGCCGGTTTCAGTCTATGTGAAACCTATGAACATGTTTGATGTAGCAAATTAATTAGTATAGTAAATAGTTTAAATATATAGTTGGTGGCAATTTGTTTATAGGCCGATTACTGAGTTTCCCGTGTAATAGCATGTTACGCTGTAAACTTGAGTTTCTATGGATGCATGTGGATGCAAGTCGTTTGTTTGTACATAATGCATTGCATGGTATTCTAATTTAGATTTTGTGCATTAATCCTGTCATTGTAAACCGGCCGGCAGCTGTTCGGAAATTATCGCAAGGGTTTTAGCTCCTTTTGACGCATGCTTTGGTCCCTTATTATTACTGGGGTCTCCCCTTACGGCCGGGTCTTATGTTGAGACGCGGAGGGCAGCGGTGAGAAATTCGATGCTTCTTTTTAAATGATGCCCTTCTTGAGATCACATTGACAGTAAACAAGTTGGGGCATTGAGGTCTCGAAGGGTAACATGTCATTGTAGTGCCAATGTTTTTTTTTATTTCTCGCATGTTTTGTCGTCCTATTGTATTAGATTGTTAACGATATTTATTGCATTTCAATTTCCTTATTGTTAGTATTCTGGTAGAGCATTTTGCAACATTCTTAGCTATGAAGTAGTATCGAATTTTTTCGTTTTTTGTTGACGTACGGTCAAAGTTACGTTTTTACAGTTATCAACAAATCTATGATTTCATCTTCGTTTTAAATCTTTCTTTCTGATTTAGGAATAACACTGTTTTCTAGAACAAATTTTTATTATAATTTCTACTCTATACGTCAATTGGGGTAAGCAGAAACCAATAATTGATTAATATCAATACAGTTGTTTTGTGTTTATGACCTATGTATATTCTTGAAATAGTATGTAAAGGGAACAGGTTTTGATGCTGCAGTTTGTTGACGGGTGGGCGTATTCGTGTTGCAGTTAGCCTACGATTAGTGGGCAACGCCCTACAACACTGGCGTTACGTCAAAACTGTCTCAGGCGTACCTCGGAATGCAAATCCACGTAGTATAGACGCTCTAATACTGTGTTCAGACTGTTTCTTAGATTTTAATCGTTTTAAGACTAGAAAATAAATCTACCAATATAATTGTACGAAAGTTAAAAAATTCGAATGCAATTATGAGTAAAACTAATATCTATAATTGTATTATTCTTGCAAATCAGATTGTTTTCGCGCCTTAAGTAATAACACTGCTATGATAATAATTTTGTTCTACTTTTATTAAATTATTAAACGTTACCTAAAAGACAAAATAAAAGAATTATTTATTGCAACAAGATAGTATTATTGCAGTATTTACAATATTAAATGAAAAAAGTGTATAGAGGACAAATCTATTTCGCATAGAAAATACAACCAATTAGCCTAGTGTTAGATTCATAGCCTTCATTACTATGTCAATCCGCGGCCTAAAAGTTTCCAATGGCTTCACTCAAGCGCCCGTGTCAAATTTAGGAAACTTCTTGTCGTATAACAGAAATTTGGAAAAACTACCTACAAGCAAAAGGAATAAAGTTGAATTTACTCTGGTAGAAAATTGTCGGGCATGGCCTAACAAACGTATCACTCAAATTAGAACCTTATTGCATAGGTTGTCAAAGTCTTTATTCGTTATTGTCCCATAGTACGTGTGGGTAACTCCTACAGAGCGCTGTAGCCCTGGTATCTTAGAGTAAACGCGCCAGTATTCGGCTTTGACCGAGCACATGTGTAGGGCGCATGCGCCCCGCCACTCCGGCGGACCAATCAGCGTCGAGCATTCTGAGAACCGGCCGAAAATATCGTCAAGTACATTCTGAATACTGATTGTTTAAAGTCCTTTAAAGTAGTCATTAATTAGGAAATCGGAAAAATTGTGTTCATTACATTTCTATTTTTACTTTACTATATTTTGTTATTATTATAATTGCGATTGTAGTTGGCGCGTTCTGATCTTGTACTAGTTCAGCTATAGATGGTTAGATGGCGCTTTTATAAATTAGTTCAAATACGCTAAATATTTTTAATTTATTAGTAGTAAACGACAAAATATAGGATACTGTACCTATAGTTTTTTTAATATCTCCCCAAAAAATCCAAAAAAGCCTTTGTCAATTAAGTGTATAGTAAATTTTCAAAACTTATTAATTCATATTATAAAGCAAATCCTAATAATATGAAACATTTTGAAAGTGGTACAAGGCTCGAATTCTCTATAAATAATCTCTTTACAATGCATGACCGTAATTTTATCCGGTCCTATATCGGAAGGAATAAAAAACAACTGCACGAAACAGGACATCCATAGAGTTGTTTATAATTTTATTTATTTGTAATTATTTTTTCTGCGTTACGCTAAAGAATACAAATATACACAATACTGCAAATAAACACAGCGATCATGTTAAGACAAAAGTAATACAATCCACGTGTCACACTAAACAACTAATCTTTTAACCTTTACACCATGTAGGAACTTTGATAATTATGTTTAACTAGCTGTCGCCAGCGACTCCGTCCGCGTGAAATGAGAAAAACTTAATTAGTTCCCGGCAATTATTAGAATTTTTCCCACCTTTTAAACCTTCCCTAGACCTCCACGAACACTTCAAGACCAAGTTAAGTTTAATCCATTCATCCGTTATCGAGTTTTAGCGACACTAACGAACAGCAATTGATTTTAATTTATATAGATTAGTGTAAAGAATTAGTGAAAAGAAACAAAGAAACAATAGGAACAGAAGTGGATGATTGAAAGTTTCAAGATATTTAAAAAATTATATATCATTCACTTGAAACCCATCATTTAGTAACTGATAAGCTAATTTTTGTTGTAATAAAAACTTTTACTGATTTAAATAAAAAGTATGAAATATTTTTTATTAAAAACTAAAATAATAAAAGTAGCAAAACGTCTCAATACACGTCGCTGTTCTAAACACACTTTTAACTAAGGGCTTATATACAAGTCGGTAGGTACTTGCCACCCCTCCGGAACATAGAACGTTTTTTCTATATGAAGGGCTCCCCTTTTATATTTAGAAAGCATGCTTTACGCTGCGATTATTAGAGCGGTGAATGGGGGAGACGTATCGCAGCCCCCACACAATTAGAGCCCCGTCTGCATTATCAAACGTACAACGTGCGCATTCCGTTAGAGCACGACTTGATGGAGAATATTTTAAATTAAAATATACATGTTATAAAGTTTTCAAAGTAAGAATAACACGTAGAAAAGACACTATATCTAATATATATCTCTATAGGTAATATAACCTATTTGTGTTTATTGATTTTTTAATGTTTTAAACGAGTTTTGTGCTTTTAATATTACTAATTTCCATGCTTGCTGACACGAGACTTTGATACGGTGACGTGACAACTACGGTTTTGCATAGTTATAGCATTGGTAGAGTCGTAGTAATAGCAAGTTTAGTATCTTTAAAAAAGTTGGGATTTTATCCCAGCTTTTAAGATGGAAATAAGAATGAAACTCACTTCACACAAGTGGATTATCCACGCTTAGTATTAGCTCCTATGTCCTATAAAAATACGACTTTACTATGCACAAAAAAAATACATTCCATATTTTTGTGGTAATGAATCCGTGCTGCACATCCATTATGTGCATAAGCAAAGTTTTAAGTACAAAATCTAACGACACAGGATTTTTTGGTTAGCCACTCTTTTTTTCATAAAAACTTTTTCTGTATTACCCGCGAAATATCGCCGCATTTGTACAAGGCGAACATAAAAAACGTGGAGATGTCGCTCGGAGTCATTACAGCAACAGCGGCGCGCCGGTCGTTATGCTGCACGCGTTATTATGTAAATATGAAACGAAAGGAAAGGTCGGCTGTTTTTGTGGCTGCATTATCTGATGCAGATAGCGATTGTAATTAGTGGTGCATATAGCGGCGAAGGGCGGCGCAGGTGGACTGTTCCCACGTCATGCTCTCCCAGTACAGTTTACTTTATTTCACTTTTTTTGTTTAATTTTTTTACGCTTGAGCCGAAAAAATGTGTGAAAGGCGTTACTTGTTACTTAAAAATTATAAAAAGATGTTTTTTCTATCCAATTAACTGCATTTTACAACGTTGAGTTTGTCGAGAATAAAAGTACTTGTTGAGAATAAATATATTAAAAACAGCTATACTTATGTTATGGTCAATAAAACAACTTTTCATCGATAATTGCGAATCGTTTCCTTAGTTTATGTTGCCCTGATTATGTCCTATATTATCTTCCCACTTAAATAATAACATTACTTAAAATATTACAATAACAATGCAATGTAATCAGGGACGGCGTTGCGGAAGGGTGGGCACAGGACAGGGATGTCCAGGGTGAGTTGTCCCCCAGTGCTAACCCCCGCCCGATTGCGTTTTGTTTTTTCCCTTCATCCTTCATAAATCCCATATCTGGCGACCGCCGCGGGGTCTAATCCCACTTAATTGAGTTATTAGTGACATGTTTATCTTTGGGAATGAAATTAGATAGGTGTCAGTCAAATTAGGGTGCGTTTGTTGATAACGACACAAAAGATTTAGTTAAAGAACTGTCATGTAAAAATCCTCGATAAGTTTGATAAAATTGTCGCTTCTTAATGGTGATAGTAACCCGTGAGGTTTGCAAAAGCAATTAATTTTTGTTCTTTTGTTTTCATTGTTTAACCTATTCGTTCTATCGTCTCTGTGAACTTTATCAAATGCGTTAATATTCAATGATCTCCCGTGCACAGCGGTGTCGAATCATTAATACCTCTCCTCGCGAGTGTGTCTATGGAAATCTTGTATTAGTCCCGTTAGCAAACAACGGGCCCCCTCGCCACTATTTGCTCGGCCTGGCCACAAGTGGCGTAAGACGAGGGTCCAAGAGCCCTTT